ATGAAGTGGAAGAGAGAGAGAAAAGGGGAAAGGGAGGGAGAGGAGGAAAAAAGAAAAAAAAACAGGAAAAACTTTTTAACGTTGTAAATAATAGTAACATTTTGTTGTTATATTGCAGTTAGTTTTCGGATTAAATAAAAAAAAAACAATTTATCGGTTGTAAAAGACAAAACGGATTTTATTACGTCACGAGGGGAGGGATGGAGAAAAATTTAATGACGTCATCTCTCGTCGGTTTTAGAATAATGATTTTTTTTTAAATATCATCATCATCATTTTTATATCTACCGCGTAATTTTATCGATGCACCGCCTTTGATGAATAAAAAAAAAAATGTTGGGAAAAATTCAATTATTATTATTATTATCATTATTTTAACTCTGTTTAAATTCTTTCGCTCGTATCAAATTGGATTTTGTTTTTTGTGGAAAGCGGAAACGACCTAAAAGGACGACTGACGGTGGAAAACAATGGATAAAAGCGAGAGGGGAGAGGATTAATGCGATGGGGAGAGAGACGAGGGGGAGATAATGTAAAAAAAAAAAGGACGTACAATGACGAGGTGAACGGGATGGGAGAAATAGTAAAAAGGAAGGCAGGCAGGAAGGCAGGAAGGAAGGAAGGAAGGGAACAGACACAAAGCGTCAGAAAATCAAAAAACAACGACGGTTACAAAAACCGCAACAGCAAAAAAAAAAAAATTAAATTTTCCTTTTTGAATCATAAAAAAAAAAAAGTTAAGAAACGCATTCTTTTTTTTGTAGAAAAAAAAATAAAAAATTTATAAGAATAATTTTGATCCTGAACCGGAAATAAAAAAATATATAACGGTTATAATTATGTACCACGTGACATAATAAAATAGAATAAATAAACATCGCGGTAAATGAAAAGTGATTCGTAAAATTACGGTAATGTTGGACAAAATGACGTCACAAATACGTTTTCATAATAACGAATAATTTTCAATTACGAACGTATCGTTGCACTTGTAAAGCAACAAGTCGATTTTTTTTTTTTTAATTCTCCACCCCAAAAAAAAAAAAACGCGTTCATGTTAACAACGCTTCGAGTTCAACAACAACAACAAAAAAGATTAAAAAAAAAAAAATTTTTTTTTTTGGTTTGTGTTTTTTTTCTACTTCCACGTATTTCCCCCGCCCCTCCCTCATTACTTTATCGGTTATATTTTAAATGATTTATTGCATATTTAAAAAAAAAAAAAAAAAAAAGTGTCAGTGACAAAATGACATTTTTCCCAAACAGTTTTATCGAAGTGCATATATTTTACATTAAGAGTTAAAAAAATTTAATTTATAAGGTTGAAAAAGGGAGGGAGGGGGCGGAGAAGGGAAGGGAGGTGGTGGAAATAAAAAATAATTCAATTCGGTTATTTAATCTTGTAGAAAAATTAAATTATGAAAAGTAGGCAAAAAAATAATAATAATAATTTTCCCTTTTTTTGCCTTCTTTTTTCCTTCTTTCCTTCTCGTTCTTTCCATTTTTTTTTTTTTTTTACCTTTTTTTTTGTTACTTGATTATTACTGTTTAATAAATCGTTAAATGAAAAAAAAAAATTTATTATTATTATCATTTTCATTTCATTCATTCATTCATTCATTCGATTTTAATATTATTATAAAAGTTTCTAAAAAAAAAAAAAAATTAAGTTTTGTATTACTTATTTATTATAATTATTTTTTTTTATTACTCTTACAGCGGGTTTTTATTACTGCGACAATTCGTATTATTATTATTATTATTTTCGTAAGGGAATAAATAAGAAAGGGAAAAATCTCGAGTTGATAACGTCCGATGACAAATAAATGAGGAATAATAATTAAAATATTAATTAATTACGTAATAAAAATAAAATTTTTTTTCTATTACGTAATTAAAGAGAAAAGTGTCGACATCGTGTCAAAAGAGAGAAAAAAAAACGTAGCACGAACGATTGACGATGTTTTTTGATTCCGTGACGATTGAATACAAATTCAAAAAACAAATTTTTTTTTTTTTTATTACTTTTAAATTACTTTAATAATAATAATAATGATGATGATAATAATAATAATGATAATAATAAAAGTTTTTCTTTTTTTTTATTTATTTTGATTTGTTTTTTTTTTTTGAAATAAAAAAAGATTAACGTAAATATTAAAAATCGTTGATAATTTTTATATTTTAAATTTGTTATCGTTCTCGTGCCACGTTTTTTTTTTTATATATGAAAAATTTTTAAATAATCCGTAATATCTTTTTTTTGTTACGATTAAATTAAATCCACGACGGTTATTAACGTGTAATAATTTATTTATTTATTTATAATTATTAGTTAATAAATTAATTTCTTATTATTATTATTTTATTGAAAAATAAAAAAAATAACACGCAAAAAAAAAGATTTGCTGCAAAAAAAGGTAAATAAATAAATAAATAAAATGTCGATAAATTAATAATGATAATAATTTAAATCCGTAGTATTAATCGAATTTGTTTTTTATTACGATTCGTTTTGTAACGAAAAAAAAAAAAAGAATTTACCTGTTTTTTTTTTACGGTTGCTGAAACATTAAATTTAATTAAAATAAACTTTATTATTATCATCATCATCATCATCATCATTATTATTATTATTATTATTATTATTATTATTATGCAAAATTAATGACCGAATAAAAGAAAAAAAAGAAAAAAATTAAATTCGTTACGTCATTTAAAGGGTCGAACGTATATGAAAAAAAAAAAAAATTAATAATAATAATAATAATAATAATAATAATAATAATAAATTTTTTCTAACGGTGTGACGTTAAAAAAGTGTTTTTTTACCGACGTGTATAAAATAAAATAAAAAAAGTCGTGGAAGCAGTGGGAAAAAATTTTTTTTTCCTTCTGATTGAAATTCCATAAAAACCGCAACATTTGTTACCTTCGGTCGTCGCGAAACTTTTTTTCCAAAACCAGATTCGAAACCCTCCTTTTCCCTTCCCCTCCCCTCCTCTCTCTCTCTCTCTCCCTTATTTCATAGAGTAAAAGAACAAAATAATAATAATGTTAGTTAAAATATTTTTTTATTCGAAAGAAAAAAAAAAAAAAACGAAATCCTAGAGAGAAAAAATGAAAAATGGTTTCGTTACACGTCATTTAATTGGTGTTTGTATTTAAAGGGAAAAAGGTTAAACGTAAAATTTTATTTAATTTTGGTTTTCAGGGTGGACACGGAAAATAACCGAAGGAGTTTTTAATTACCCGATGTTTTACGGTTGTCGACATGGTTGTTGGTTGTTTACAAAAAAATTCGAAAAACGAAAAAAAAAAAAATTTTCTTTTTTTTTTTTTTTAACAAAAACGTTATTAATCACGGAGGAAAATTTTTTTTTGTTTTTCTTTCCGGGACGTGAGAAAGATTTGATATAAGATTATATTAAAGTTTGTAGATTTGTTTGTTTGTTTAAAAAAAAAATTTTTTAACTTATTTTTTTCTTTTTTTTAATTAATTTGTTTGCTTTTGTTTTCTTGTTTATTCCATTAAAATTTAATTGGAAAAAATTAAATGATGACAAATATTTTATCGCATCGTGAACACTGCTGTCGTTGTCGTTTGTTGTTGTTGTCGTTGTTGTTGCTTCTGCAACAATCTCAAAAATTTACAAAAAAAAAAATTCACGATGAAATCAACTTCCTGTAAAAATATCCAACTAAGTAAATTTATAATTAATCGCAAAATCCTACGTAAAACCGAAAGTTTGTCGTAAAACAAACAAACAAAAAATATTTTTTTTAAAAAAAATTTCATAAAAATTTTTCTTTTTTTCTGTTGAATTTCCTTTTTTTTTTTTCTAATGAAGTTGGAACGTGGAAAAAGGAAAAAAAAATTAATTATCTTTAAATAATAATAATAATGACGATGATAATGATGATGATAATGATGATAATAATAATAGTTAAGAATGAAAATTAAAAGGAAAAAAAAATTCAGTGCTGAATATGCATAATTCATAAATTTTTATGAAAGAAAAAAAAAAGAGAAAAATTAATTTTTTAATAGAAAGAAAGTGGAACGACGACGACGACAACAATTGTACAGGGGGAAAAAAAAATTTTCTTTTTTGATTTTTTTTTTAAATAAAAATTTTGGCGCCATTTTTAATTAATAATAATAATAATAATAATAATAAATTCGATTACGTTTGACGCGCGTCGCAAAAAATTTTTTTTTTTAATAAGTTTGTCATCGGTTTTAATTTGATGACATTTTCTTTCGGTACGATTTTAAATAATAATAATAGTAACAATAATAATAATATTTAACGAAAGTAAATCTTAAAGAATGTTCTAGAATAAATGAAACCGGAAAAAGGATTTAAAAAAAAAAAAAAACCGCAGTCATAATGATCTGGAGCGTTTCCAAAAACTTTTTTTTTTATTTTTTTTTTTTTTTAACCAAGTTGAAATAACTCGTTTAAAAAAAAAAAAAAATTTCACTTAAACTTTTTTTGTGTGTGTTTGTTGTCTGTTGTTTGTTGTTGTTGTTGTTCGCTTTTACACATTGTTAAATCGTTCGTAACTGATTTAATTTCGTACGTACGTACGTACAACGCGATATAAAAAAAGAAAAAAAGGCACTCAAACCGAATTGAAATTCTATTCTGATTTTTATTATTATTATTATTATTATCATTATTATTATTCTTTCTCCATGTTTTTCCTTTTTTTACGTTCAAACAGTCGCAATAAAACTTAATTTTTTTTTTTTTTCTACTTTGGGGACTTCAAAAAGAGAAAATTTAATAAAAAAAAAAAAAAAAAGTAAATAAAAATTCAACGCATTTTTTTTTATTTTTTGTCAAAGGATCGAATCAAAGGTTTTGCCCCCCAATGCCCCCCTTCGCATTTTTCCCCCCTTTTAATCGTTTTTAATTATTTATGGAGATAAAAAAAAAAATGTCACATACGTATATTTTACTTAACTTAAAATTATTTACGTGGTTCGAAAGAATCAGTATGTTGGTAATACTGCTTAATTGCGTTACCTTGGGTATGTATCAGCCCTGCGAGGAGGGAAATTGCGATACGACAAGATGTAAAATATTACAGGTACGTTCAAAAACCAAATTTTTTTTTCGTTACGTCACACATCCGATGACGTCACACACATAAATTTTTACCTTTCGTTCGTTCGAATTTAAAAAATTTAATTGTTTTTTATTTTGTTACCAACTTAATAATAATAAAATTTTTTTTTTTTGGGGGGGTGGGTTTTTCCAGGTCTTCGA